TTCCCAATTAGTCGCTTCCGATTTGAGCTACTCAACCAATCAATGGTTGGATGAGAGGAGAAACTGTTGCGAATTCATCACCCTAAAGCGAATGGGCATGCAAAACTCCTGCTCGGTACCACCCAAAGTGAAACAATTGCATCGATTCAAAGCATCAAAGAGCAAATGACCAAATTGCTACGGAAAGTATCCATGCAAATCCTTGATGGGTAAGAAGAAGGAACTGACAGAACACGAAATTAGGTAACTTTATTTCAAATAAAATGGATAAACCAGTCATTCAACCAAACAACAACCAAGTTCAGTTGAATCGAAAAGACCAGAGTGGTAGACTTGTTCGAATTGAAGTGGCACAATCCTAATTCACCAACACTAGTAGCAGTGGTAGAAGTAGTAGTGGTAGTAATGAATGGTGAGTCCACCAACCAGTGCCATAATCAATACCTGCAGGTCATATTGTCGATAGAGATAATGGAGCAATCGAGTGGTCTGGTCTTGTCACAACAGTTGGCTAGGCTCGGTTGGGATGTCAACACCACCTATCACGCTATCGAATGTTCTTGAAGCTAGACCTCTATTGAGACTTGATAAACTGTCACCAGCACTGGGCATTGCAGAGCCTGGACTGGCTACCGCCAAGTTCTGAAAGGTTGGCAGCCATTCAAAGCCCGTGTCTTGGGTAGTGAAATTCCATCAACCTTCAAGTACGGTATCATATTGATTTGATGGTTCGGTGCATGCCAGTGAGATTCATCGATTTCCAGTAAGTCACTCCTGATTTTAACCACTCAACCAATCAATGGTTGGATGAGAGGAGCAAGTGTTGCAATATTAGCACCCCAAAATGAATGGGCATGCGAAATATCGCAACAGAGACAATAACGTTTACTTAGTATGCCAGATAATGCAAGTCATGCAGCTGCTGAGTCACCTCATTTGCGTCATGCGGCATCTGACACCCGCTATGTACCTACGCGTAGCATCATGCGTAGCTATGGTGGTGGACAGCTTTAACAGGAGTGCCGATGTACTAGAAGGTGCTAGTGGTGCTCTCCTGTGCATTGAAGAGATTGATTATTGCAGAAGTTAGTGCGCCAAGGGAGGAGAAATGCGAATGCATTTCGTGGGAGAGGGTTAAAATTTGTGCGATGCAGGAGGCGTTGTTCTTGCACAACAAACCACATGCAAAACTTCAAGTGCCATTTGTAGATATGTCGATGCTTTCTCCAATTAGTGACCTCTAATAGCCAACTACGTGCCACTAGGCGTGCGTGTGCGAGATGGACGCGAGGAGCGTAGT